AATTTTCGCGATATGTATGAGTGCATTATAAATTGCTGGTCTTCCTGTTAATTCACGTGCTATACTTTGAAATGGAAGTAAATATGAATTTGGGATAGTAATGTAAATATTTGAATTGATTCTTTCATTTCCTTTTTTGTTTTCATTACAAAAAATTAAAGGCTCTTTTGTTTTTCTAATGAAACATCCCAGGACTATTACTAATTTTCGATCACTTTTAAAAGTAGGTGTTAAACATTTAGTATTAAACCTTTCTCTAGTATTCTGCTAAATCCTTATTTGCTTAGACTACTTTCTAATATTAACACTTGACTCATCTGAAAAAATAACTTGTGCTCAATTGTAAACACTTTTTTCCTTATATTTTTCATACCAGTTAATATGAACCATTGCATGCTTTTCTAAAATAAAAGGCTTCTTTGCAGCAATATGAGAATGAATTCTAATATTATATAGGGTTTTTTTAACTGTTGTTAAGCCACAGTTTAGCCTAAGTGTACTGATAATTTTATGCAAAAACGCATATCATTTTTTTGAGATTTCATTAAAAAGTGCATTTTTTTCATAATTATTAAGAGCAGAAGGACGTCTGGAGTATGGTATATTTTCAATATTTCCAGTTTTCTGGTATTTGGTAATAAATCTGTATATTGTGATTGGTCCTGACTAAAGATGAGAACTGTAATTAATATGTTGCAACTTTTAATGTTACAACTTATGTTGCAATTAGTTTTAACCTATATATGTTGCAACTTATAATGTTGCAACATATGTTGCAACTAATTTTAGCTTATGTTGCAATATTTTGTAAATTTGAAATTAATTGCTGTACCATCTTTAGTCCTGACCCATTTTTTTTGCTATTTGAACAGGATTTAGACTTTCCATATATGCTAATATTTTTCCCTTATCATGAGGGGTCATTTCAGTATGTGTAGAAGTCATTTTTAACCACACGAAAAATATTATGTAGTCTTAAAAAAACCAAATAGATGAGAAAGTTTGGATCAAAATACAGAAAAGGATAGCAATAAATACTGTATAACGTTACACATTGAAAATCGGGCGTCACTTTGTGACGCGACTGTACTTAAATAGTGATCACCACCCAAATACTTAATAAAAATTGAAAGCCAATCAGAGCCTGAGGGGTAAATTAGTAAAATCCATCAGTTGGTTTTGCTTTCCTTCAGTTAGACAAATTATTTCTTTGAGCAAGTCATCCAGTATTTTTTTAATCGCATAAAATACACAGCTAGAACTTTCTTCATCATATACATTCATCTGAGGTAAGATTACCAATCCCCAAGGATGTTGACAGATCGTTAAATGTATTTGCAACGCATAGCCTCGTTACTATCTACTACTGGCCCCATATTTTGTCTTACGAAGAATATCATCTATGCAAAGCTTAAACTCTGAAGGATTTTCATCGATTAGGTGAGGGACTATAAATAGAATGCATAAGTCAATGTAATCAACTTTATAAACAAAAAAGTTAGTGAAAGCATTTCGAGTGTCTTCTCACTTCCGCTAATGTGACCATCTCATTGTGATGGTGACAGGTGTATTAGTTTCTGACATAGCGTTTTTATAGTAATAATAGGCTCAGATAAAAAAAATATTAGAAATGGCCGGAGTGTACAAGTGCCAAATAAATATGAGACATTCATTGTCGCAAAGTCCCTATTCTTTCGGCAAGAATCTTTGAATATATTTCTGGTATTTTTTTAGGTGATCGATTTCACTTGATCATGTTCGTAGATTTGGAACACACTTGCCAAGAAAAAATTTTTTATTTTACAACCACATTCATGCTAGGGTGTCCAGGATTTGTTGGTCACGATTTTATCACGATTTTGACAATATTTTTACGATTTTTTGTTGACGATATTCAAATTTGATTGGGTGATTTAGTGACCATATGATCAAAATTTTGATCCACTAGGTTTCTACTCTGAAATTATGTTTGATTTCAGCCGGAATTATAATCGCGATAAAATCACGCGCGAATTTTGAACTAACCCTAATTCATGCATACATTGAATAAAAATCACGAGCCCAATTTGAGCAAATCATTTTATTATTTTATTATTTGATTGCATTACAAAACCAAAGCGAATCTTGCTGACCGAGCGCAGCAAGTTACATGAACATGTGATGCAGTAGCACGTAACTGCTCTTTAAAGCTATCTGTAATATAGTCGATGCTGTTCCAACTTAATTTTGAAATGGTTAATGCTGAGTAAGATTTAACTCCTCGTATTTATCAATACCAATTTCATCAATAATCCAAGCATTCTGATATCCTTTTTCTGAATTGATAATAGCAAAATAAAACATTTTGACCTGTAATGTTTTCATCTTCGGCTTTAACGATTTTCTGATAAAGATAAGTATAACTAACTGTCTTCAGATACATGAGAGAAAAATATCAAACCTTGAGTGACATTATCATCCTTTAACTCATTGATAAGCTTTTTCAGCATAGGGGGCTCACCTTTCATAGTATTCGTCTTCTATTTTTTGCTGGAGGATTGTTCAGTAGAATCATTTCTAACGTGCTTTCGGGGAATAATTGATTATTTCGTGATTTTGGAGATTCGTTAAATAGTGATGGAGTGATGGAGATATATCCATTAAGTCATTATCTTCTGTCTTCCGGATGAGTTAAGAACTGCCAATTCTTACAATTGGGTCTTGAACATGTAGGTTTTATAAATATTTCAATATATCACTTTAATAACTTGGCCACAGCTAAGTATGGTTTATTTTGAAACAACAATGCCTTCTGCAACTTTTTCTGGTGATATATTATTTAGGATATTTAACGCGAGAGTTCAGGACAATAAATATTAGTAGACATACTGTAGGAATCTAGAAATTTAAAAGCAATAACTTTTTCTTTTGTTTTATTTTTAGTCCTTGCCAGAATGATGGCACACTTTGTTGTTGTTTGGTTTACGCGCTTTCTCTCATTCTTAGAACGTTTTGGGCCCTCTCCCTAAACATTATAAATACCCATCGATACGTTGTTGACAGTGAGTCCTAGAAAGCCCTGTCACGTCACTCACAATTTATTCCTAATAAAATAAAATAAAATCAATTGCCTTTCTATAATTTTCAAGAATTTCGTTTCTCTTTTCTTTGGGATACCTTGCTCTTGATTATTAATATATTAGAGAGATTTTATGTAAACAATATGAGAGTTTTTCTAGGAAATGGTTCTATCTACCAATCAAATACATTTTTGTGAAGTTTATCGGCTATTACCTGATCAGTCTAATATCGATCATCAAATACCAACTTAATAAATGCCGAAATTATATGTTGACTATTTTTAAAAAATATATATATATAAAGCGGACTTTTGCCCAATCAATATATATATTCATATCAATTAGAACAATTAGAACGCATAAATATTTGAAAAACAACAAACCCTGATCTACTATCAGTTTAGATGAATAACCGAATGATTTTTCGATATTAATGAAAAATAAATGTGAATGTCATGTACTCACCTAAAAAAATGAATATAATATTTATATTCAAAAATTTATTATAGTCAATTTGTACCATATTAATTATAATAATGACGAACTGTGCTAACTCGTACTAATTTTTGTACTTCCTAACTCTGATAAATTTCCGGTTGAACAGCCGTTTATTTTGTCGTGGTTTGCAAAATGGGCATGCTTTGTTTTGAGAAGATGCGAGTTTTAAATGAACTAATCCACCTTAAGAAAAATTTCCTTTGAAGGATTTGTAAATGTATCCGGATTATGCTAATAATTCTATCATATAATTAATATTAACTCTGGGTATCGTCCGCGACTGTACAAATAAATCAAACATTGGAATTCCTTGCATTCTTTTGGGTCACATTTTGAAAAAAAACACATGGTTATATTTTATCCGCTTGTATTCCTAATTGGGAGAATTAGGGAAGTCCCTAAAGGGATTAAATCAAATATTTATACTTGACGGTTTTAAAAAAAAATTTCTTGAGATGCATTATCAAATTTTGTGATATTGACAAAGCATTAAAAACCTTAAATATTCTTCTATGGAATTTTTTTCAAAATTCTTTTTGGATCAAGTGAACAAAAGGTTCACAAAACTTCTATTGAGAATTTGAGAAGATGTATTAGAATAAAATATGGCATGATAAACAAAGCTTGTCAACCTTGTCAACCATTGGTATTAATCATTTTTAAAGTTGTGTTACATTAATTATGGTATCATGTTATAAAATTGGTAATGAATATGGGTTATATGGATTATATGTAACAGAATTCTTGAACAAAGTCCAAAAAAAAAATATATAAAATAATATTAAATGATAAAATTAGGTGTATTGATATTGATTGATTTAATCTCATTATATGACTTTTAATATGGATGGAAAACTACCAAAGTAAGATTGTTGTTGATTTACATGTACTTTTAAAATTCATATCAAGCCTATTGAGGTAAATGTGTTTTTCCGACAGTTTCTACTGCAAAACGTCCATATGTTTGAAATTACCTACAAATTTTTACTTAGATAATCAAAATAAAGGTAATTTAATTGGTGTAAATCTTTATTTGTATAAAAATTAAAACAAATTTTAATTTCGTGACAGCAAAATAAGATTCAAAAAAAGAAAATTTAATCTGATATAATAAACAATTCTGTTGTTTCTTTTAATATTAAATAAAAAAACTTCTTGGGAATTTTGTAATCAATTAAAATAAAAAGTTTGACGTACAAAAAAAAAATTTAAACTTTCCTATTTTAAATAATGAGAGTGGTGCAACATTCATGATTCTGAACTTTAAAATTATCATTATATATGCAAAGGGATCGATTTTAAGGTTCCATACTTTTTATTTTTTTATTTTTTTTATAATGTATTAAACAAAAAAAAACCTTAATTTATGAGTATAAATATCTTCTCTTCGAAAAATAACAATTTATATGCGTAACTTTTTTAAACTTCTGCTAATTAATAATTATGAATTTAAAAAGAGGCGATGGTGATAAACCGGTATCTATTAAATCCTCAAATTCCGCAAAAAAGAGAGATGAATATCCACTTCCTCATCATACAACACCTTCACTGACCAATGAAGGTTTCGATTCTGTAACGGTAACCTTATTACCAACGACGTATTCTAATGACAACAAATCTATACAGGAAAACTTTTCAAATTTAAGAATTCCAATACTTGCTTGCCTCATAGCTACGCTTTCTCTGATTATAATTGCAATGGTTTTTGGCTTTTACATTAAAAGACGAAACAAGACGTTTGCCATCGCTATTAAGAAAGGTTTTCATAATAACGCTTCTCACATCTCTGCGATAATATCAGAATCAATAATTGATGAGAGAATAGAAATTCAAGAAATAAATTCCGAATCTCCAAGGTCTTCAACATCTTCAATCCTTATAGAAGTTATGACGGATACATTATCAAATATAATTAAGAATCAAGGAGGAAAGATAGAGATCCCTAGTAATAATAATTCTAACGTATCGGCTAGACCCGAATTGATTCGAGTGAAATCCTTGGATTACTCTAACAATGAGGATTATAATTCCAAGAATGGAAATGATTTAGCAAGTTCGATCAAAAATATATTTGGAAAACGTCGTTCAATTTTAAAAAATACTACTAGCGTTTAGACATTTTGACATTTTTTATAATTATGTTATGTATAAAATATTTTGTAATTTCATATAATGTATCATAACTTTCTTTTCCTTATTATGTGTACTTTACGGGGAATAAAAAAAAATATTTTTAAGTAGGAACCTTTTGACTTTTTTGCGACCAATCAATATATCTTAAATCTTAATAATCTTGGCCAGTTTGAACAAAACGCATAATGGACCTATATCAATTAAGTAAAGTTTTATACCATAATTATAATGTCTACCGCAGTAACACCTTTTCCAAGAAATATGGTTACGTAAATATCAAACCCGTAATGATGCCTCTCAATATCTTTCACTTTCTCCAAGGACGACAACATTCGCGAATTGAGGGCGGATGATATCAAGCAATCGATTAATTAGAAAATTTTCGAAATTTGTTATTTAAAAAAAAACATAGTTATGGGGTCAACTAATGTTCTAATTCAAATTAATCGAATTTAAGTGATTAAAATGGAAAGAACTATAGAAGAGCTAATTTCGCATGGGTGGGGAATTACGATACTAGGAAATTCGGTCCAGAAAATAGGAGGAAACCATACTATTGAAGTTTGTTATGACCAAGTGATCATGCTATTCAGAAACTGATAATTGAATGCAGCACAAAATGGCGTTAGATATTGACAAAACAAGGTGTGGTTACATTTAATAATTTTCATTGAATTATTTGTTTGTTTAATTAATTTTAATTTATTGTTAAATAAATAGTCTTGTTGGACAACTTTCTCAAAATGTGTGCAAAAAAAAAATTTTTTTTTCGTTCATATTATTATAACACTGTGGATTGTTTGTAATAACGATTTAATGCAACGGATGTTTGTCCACCTGACAATAGATTAGGAATTCTTCAATGCCCCTAGAGTTTTGTTCAGTATTTAAAATATTACAAAGATATCAGGAAATTTAAAAGGAAATCATTTATACTGGACAAAATGGCTGGATAATTATAGAATATCAATGCAGGACCTTTTGAGGAGGTATTGAAAGGTTAAAAAAGATTGCATAGATTATCGAAAAAAAAAATTGCGAAGATTTTATTATGACATATGGAAGCATGGATTATATCGTATTGAGTGGATTTGATAGATGGTTTCCAGTTTGATTACGAAAGAGTTTCGCCCGTACACATTTTTTTTTTTTATCCAAAAGAAAAACATTTATTTGATTAAGTAAAAAAAAAAAATTTTTTTTCTTTAAATGGTAATAGGATAATTATTCGCATCTTGTGTCCAAATTAAATAATCGCTATAAATATTATTTTGCTATTTTTGCTAATATTTCATTTGGGTTCTTTATAAATATCAGTAATAGATATTATTAGTAAAATATTATTTATTTTAATTCATTTTCTGATTCTGGTATAGATTAAGATAAAGCTCCGTTTTCTTATCGATTAGACTAATTTGGAATTTGATTTATTGTGAATGTTACAATCTTAAATATCTTGATCAAAGAAAGGTTGTTTGTATTCATTTAAACCTTGTATTCAAGTTTTTTTTTTCTCTTTTTTTTTTTGATCAAAAGAACTTTGTCATTAAATATTAAAAACATTAATTAACTTAAAAAATTTTTTAATAATCAATTTTCTATCATGGAGGATGATGGTTTTGATGATAATGTTGCGGTACGAAAAAGAATTATTGGCATTCTAGCCGGAATTGGTATGAACGTTAATAATGTAATTGGTTCGGGCATTTTTACAACCCCAGGAATGGTATGGAAGTCCCTGAACTCCCCACAGGCGGCAATGATATTATGGGCTATTGGCGGTATTATCAGTATGGCGGGTTCACTCACCTATGCAGAAGTAAGAACATTTACATTTATTTTATTACACGGGGTGACGAACGCTATGTGAAATATAAGGGATGACAAATTGTGATAAATAGCCACGAACAAAAAATGTCTACATGCATGCCGTGTAAATAAACCTGACAATTTTTCTGAACTGTTATCATTCATTCTTTTTTTTGTCTTAAAAAGCTAGGTGCATCTATTAACCGCAGTGGAGGCGAGAGTGCCTATTTAAAAGTAGCATATACCAAGCCAAAAAATTTTATTAGTTACCTTTTCTCCTTTATGTTCATTGTTGCAATCCGGCCTGGAAGTATTAGTGCGGTATTACAGGCCGTGGCACAATACCTCTGGTATATAATCAGCGACGATGCATCTGAATTAAATTCCAAGAAAGGTTGGGAAAGTGGTTGGCCATTTTGGCGATTAAAGTTAATCTCTATTATTACTCTAGCGATCATAACCGGCTATCATATGTATAGCACCCGTTTGGCTAATTACATTAATCAAACGTTTGCCGTCATTAAAATGATGGTTTTAACTATCATTGCTATTGCGGGGCTGGTCAAATTACCATCGGTATTAAGTACACATCCGAATAATTGGTTAGATCCAATTGAGGCAACGAGAGGATTTAAAGACTTTTCATTTTCCTTTATTTTGGTTGGTAATTAGAATCTTCTTTTTTCTTTGATAAAACAAACTTAAAGGCTAAGTTATGATTTTTTTTAACTTTAGATAATGTTTAGTTACAACGGATGGAATAACTTGAATTGTAAGAATTTTTGTGTAATTTTGACGCGTCTTTTTATTACATTAAGATATTAATTATATTAATTGTTATTTTTATTAACACTAAAGACTCGCTGGATGAATTTAAAAATCCAAAAAAAAAATTAATATTTAGTAATTTTATCAGCATATTTGTTGTGATTATGTTATGTATGTACTTATTTCCAAATTATTCTGCTATTATTATTATTACTATTATCTTTAAAATTTATGTTTTTTTTAAAACAAACAAAAAAAAGACTTGTTGGTCAACGTCGCTTTTATCTCTGTTGTACCGAGGGAACTTATAATTGACATTGAAGAATTTAATGAAGTTATCGCAGCAGATTTCTTTATGAATCTTTTTGGAAAAAAGGCAGGACGAATATTGTCCCTTTTTATTATCATTTCGGCCATTGGTACCGCAGCTTCGATGACCTGGAGGTAATAACAATATTAGCTTAAAATCCCTACATCGATCTTTAAAGAATATATCTTTTATTAATTTATTTATTTATTTATTTTTTTAAGCGGGTCTCGTGTGCTTGCATATGCGGCACAATTAGATTATATTCCGTACTTTTCGGAACAACTGAAATGGAAAGCAACCGAAAATTCACCTAAATTCGCCCTTTTGGCCCAGTTTATATGGTGTTCATTGTTGATCGTCTTAGTCGGTGGCGGAATAAGCTCCGACAGTTTTATTTTATTTTCCAACTTTTCTCAATATAGCGCATGGATCTTTTATATGTTGACGGGAATTGGTTTATTATCTCTTCGATACTACACATCGAGATATCGTTTATTTAAAATTCCTAATCCTATCGTATGTTTATTTGTATTGGGAGGGGTTTACATTTCAATTTTCTCTTATTTCGTTGAAGTGACGTGTCCAACAAATGAACCCAAATGTGATTTAAAACATCAAAGTCTTAAAAGACAAGCTCCATATTTTATTAGTTTAGGATTTTTGGTTTTAGGAACAATTTGCTATTATTTTGCAATTTATCGTGTCTCAAAGAACAATGAAATAGAATAAAAAATAAAACTTTATATATAAATTGTATATTATATACTGTAAATATTTTATGTCTTAGTAGCCATTTATTTCATGAAATATTTGTTTTTCATATGAGATATAAATTTTTTGCACGTGTTTGCTATTTAAACGAAGCTGTACAACATTCAATTATAATGAAATACATTTATGGAATTCAAAAAGGGTATGCTTTTAGGTTATTTTTAACATAATCACATTGGGAACACAAGTTTCTTCTTTTTACGGAATAAAGGGCCTATCTATACAAGAATGAATTCAGGAATTGAAGAGAACCCTTTGACGTTCGAAAATGCTTTTGATGGCGATAATTGTTGACAATATTTACAATAATTGATTGTTGAATACCAAAGTAAATGATCGAAATATTTTGTCTTTTTTTTTTGTAAAATAAATTAGAATAAGAAATACAAAAAAAAAAAAAAAAAAAAAAACTACTTATTTTTTGAAACAAGAACTGTTTGATTTTGAATTAAAAAGATGTTTTAGGGTCAAGTTAACGGAGGCTAAAGAGGATGATCAAACCAGGGACTCGAAGTATGATCTGACGTTGTATATTCAACTCGGTTTGTTTACCAAATTTATACAAAGTCGTTCTCTTTTTTTGTATATTGTTTGTTATTTGAGATTTCTTTTAAAAGTAATCGTTTTCGATTATTCCTTTTTTTAATTATTTTTTTTTTTTATTTTGTTTTTTTTTTGTAATTTTAGAAATCCCTAAACTATTAATCTGTAACTGTTTCTGAAAAGGGTATAGGCTTACGTCTATAATTTATTTATTTTTTTTAAAAAAAAAAAAAATAGCTCTCGGAAAATTTTATTTTGCATGGTATTGGAGAGTAAAAGAGAAATTTCGGAAAAATTCTTTCTCGTGTTCAAGTGTGCCAAACTTGTACACTTGAATAGAATGTTATAAATTTCTCAACAACGTCAAAAAAAAAAATAAAAAAAAAAATGTCTGGAACAACTTCTCTCAATAATAATAATAACACATCCGCGGGCGGTCCAACGGTTTGGAGAAAAGCGACTTATAGCACATTGGCGATTCTTTCTTTTTTTTATCTCGGTATAACAATCATTTTATTTTACATTCGAAGGAATAAAATATCAGATATTCGATTCAGACCTTTACGTTTGAACATTTTAAATGTGATAGCGACAATTACGCTGTGCGTGATGTTTTGCCTAAATTCTGCTTTCTATCCTGGTCAATTTCCTTGCGTATTAGTTCATTGGTCTTCATATATTGGTTTCTTCTTGTATTGTAGTTCCTTAGCTTGTAGAGTTTTATCATATTCTTGGATAGCGAAATATAATTTAGCAAAATTAAGGATGAGTTTGGCTTATACTCCCCATCAAAATTCCTTTAATCAATCGAATAATAATAATAAGAATCATTATAATAATAATAACGTTGCTGCCATGCCAAATTCTCCAATGTCTCCAACGTTCACGTTGCGAGAAAGGCTGGATTTCCCAGGTGCACAATTATTAAATAGATTAAAAAAATTTAGACATTTTACAACTGATAAATGGTTAACGAGATGGATTTTGCTTCCTACGATGGGATTTGCTTTCATCCTTGCCCTTATTGTACAAATAATTACGCCTGATCTTTCATTAAGTTCATTAAAAACCGACTGTAAAATTGGTCTTCAGTAAGTTTAAAGCTATAAAATTAATTAGTCGATTTCGTCCGTTATAAATTTGCGTTACTTTGTATTTATAATCCCGTCTTTTTTTATTATTTTAGATCCATTCCAGTTTTTATACTGATTGGAGCATTCCTGGTGATTTTATGTCCCATACTCTTCTTCCTCTTGTATGATTTGCGAGATGCTTATGGTCTTCGAAATGAATTATTGGTTACGTTATTCAATGGCATGCTTGCATACGCTGGTTATTTCGTATTTGAATTAATTTTACCACGATGGAGAAATTATTTTGGTAGTTTAATGTTTGCCTGGATAACATTTATATTATGTCATACCTTCTCCATCACCATGCCAGTAATTCGATCATTTAAAGATCCATCAGATTCTATTTCAAATTCACGTTCTAATAAGAGAGACAATAATAATTTGGAAGAAGGTAAATTTAACCGATATGCGTTGTTTGAGAAAGTTCTCGCGGATTCCGAATTATTTGAACATTATAAGAGTGAGCCTCATACATTTTTTTTTTTTTTTTTTTTTTTTGCTTTGTGATTTTTTCGCGATTTAATGCTTACATTAAGATGCTCTTTTTTTTTAAAAAAAAAAATTAGTCTGCACGGCAGCATGTTTCTGTACGGAACTTATAATCTTTTTACAAGAATATCAATTCTTGAAAATGTTGGTTGCCCATTGTTGTACTCCATCGAGTAAAGGAATTGTTCCTCCATCAACACCAAAACTTCATATAACGGAGACCGGTCATGTTTCGTTTCTTGAAAATATTCCCGCACCATTAACATCCCCATCACTTATAACTACACCTTGTACCAAATCAATAGTTGAAACAGTATCAGCTGCTTCTTGGATACCCTTTCCACATGAATTACGTGTCGATTATGATACGTTCTTTGAAACATTTTTTGATACGGATTCAGATTTGGCCATTAATTTTCCTGGTAACCTGTTAAATTCTGTAAAAAACATGATCACGAACGAGAAGTACGATTTGAACATGTATGAACAGGCTAGAGAAGAAGTTTTAACTTTATTATATAGAAATACTTTTGATAGATTCCTGAAAATATGTGAACCGGAACTTAAAAAAAGAGGACTTTAACAAAAACAATTTCATTTTATTATAATTTTTTAATGTATTTGTTGTATTATTAGATTAGATTAGATTTGTATTTATATTTTAAAATTATATACTTAATTCATTCTTATTAATAAATAATTGTTCTTATACTTGGCTTTATTATTTATTTTATGGCAAGAAATTTTTTTTTGAAATTTAGATATATAAATAAATGGTTTGCATCATCATCTAACCAAAGATTTTTATTCCAATATTTTAGCTTTATAAAGATTTATCATAAAATTTCTTCTACATTTCTTAATTAGTAAGAATACCATCTTTAATAACGTAAAGATTAAAATTTTATTAAAATAGAGCGAATTCAACGCTCTTTCAAAACAAGTGTAATATAACCATGCGTCGCTTGCTTTCTTAAATCCGAAACATCTCACCCAATGAACTTTAAATTTATAATTTGAGAAACTAGTTTCTCCCGATGATTGCCTTGCCTTTTTGTGATTTATTAAATGCATGGATATTAATTATCCTTGTTTAGATGCATATGGAACTTTTTTTAGCATATAAGCGAAATTATTTTTATTTCTATTTAAAGTTCTTTTTAATATCCGGATATTTATCCTTTTTTAATTATATCCGGTTCTTACGTGCAATCCATTTTATTGCAGCCCGTTCGGATATCTTATTTATTTCACTATCCATTTATATAGCATATGGGAGCGTTGCCAGTAAAATCTCAGTACGGATCATATGATTTACTATATATCTCATGACTTGATTTTACTAGTGTTATTAGCAGTTCTTGGGTTATAAACGATGTTAAAGTAAGCAGAAGTTTTTGTATTTAATAATGATCGGAATTCTAATCTAATACAATGTAGAAAAGGCATTGCCTACAACGTCGGCGCTCTATTACGATCAGGTATGTTTATTAATTATTATCGTCCGGAGGGACATTCCGCAAAATATCATATAAATCACAAAATTTTGTGATAAATGCTTAATTTTACATAAATTCTGCAAATTTGGTCTTTTATATAGATAGATATGCACATATATCCACATGATCCGCAGCACAGATAATTCTTAATGGTTGTATCGCTAAACTGTAAACAGTAAAATCATAGAAATTGATTGAATTGACAATAAAAATGGTGCCTAATGAACCGAAAAAATTTTAAATGAAGTATTAAAATTAGTTAAGCTATTTTAGGAGACTAGCAATATTAACAACATAATGAATTTTTCTTGGATTATCTAGTTCTGAATGAAAATTGGTGTGCTTCAAATTGCAATTGATTATATTTGATTATCTAGTTGTGTTGTTGATAGGGTTGGTAAAAGTCCTAATAAGTCCTAATTGGTCTTAAAGAATTTAAAGATAATTTTAATTTATATACTATTAATTAAATTTTTTAATAATAAATTAATCTTTTTAATAATTATTATATATCAATTATTTTATTAATTTAAAATAAAAGAATTAAAAGAATTCTTTAAAAATAATAAATATACTTAATTTAGAACCTGGTCTACCTGGTCCTAGGATCTAAGTTCTAAGTCTAAAATTTTAAAGATATTTTAAATTTTAAGAAGAATTTTAAACTTATTTTAATAAGTAACTTTACTTAAAAAATTAAATATAATGATAATAATTAAAAAATTTTAATCTTTAAAACTAATAATTTGTTAAAATTAATCAGGACCAATTAAGACCAATTAGAACTTTTACCAACCCTAACTGTTGAGCATGAGTATATAATAAACCTGTATAGTATGATTTTTTATTTATATACATATAGTATTAAAGACTATTAAAACCATATAAGTATAAAATATTTTTTAAGAAAAACCATACATGTATAGTTTTTAAAGTATATATATCATACTTACCTAAAAAAGAACTATATTATATATATATTCTTTATCTACTGAATTGCTTAAATAATTAAAGCATAATTGTATTTTATTTAGGAAATTATTTTTTCATTTAATAAAATAATAAATATAAAATTACACAAAAATTACAAAATGTTATAAATAACACAACAAAAATCATACAATTTTATAAAAATAAGATCATAATGCAACACAAAATTCATTTTAATCACACATATAATTTATCTTCTATCACCACAAAAAATCATTATTTCTGATTCAGAAGATAAATATAGGACTATTATGTCTATGCCTAATAATACAAAAAATTCTATCTGCTTGCTTAAAAATTAAGT